CAGCTGGTGTGTGTTAGCAGCTCCGATTACCTCACACACACACACACACGCACTGAACATTTCAAAAACGCTGAGCTTTTTATGTTCAAACCTGTGTCAAGTTTATTTGATGAATTTATATAGATTATGTGTACTTAACTCTCCTCAAGTCTTTGATTAGCATATTCTGTCATGGTCATCTATAATTGTGTTCCTGGGGGCGGGGTTTATGTAAATGTTAGGGTTTGTGATGTCACTAACCCGTGAAGAAGCTCGTGTAGTTCTACCAGCCGTTTGTTGTAGTCCTTAAAAGGAGATTTCTTTAAAAGCAAATATCTCTTTTTGCTTTGATCTTCGTAACTTTGCAGATGTTGTTTATGCTCAAACAGCAACATTACACACTAACTACAGCTAGAGAAGTGAAATCATAATCAACCACCGCTTTAAATATAATGTATATACTGTAGTGCAACAATAATTCATATTTAAAAGCACAGAAGAGCTTCCGGCGGCCTGTACCCAAACACACTTCCCATAATGCCCTGTACCGAGAGCACAAGCGCTCGAGTGAAACAGAAACCCAACTTCTTTAACATACTGTACACAAAGCGCTTGTTTCTGTCCAACACAACTATAACACTCCGTTAACAACCACTGGCTCCGTTTCATAAGCGTTATTATAATCCATCCATCAAATATGTATGAAACGTTTCTTTTATCCTCACTGCATTCATTCCAGCAAACACGTCTCCTGTTACTGCTCGTTTGGGCCTGTGATCCGGCGCCGCAGGTCCACATTTAATCAAATTCTATTTTGCATGCGAGTTGAGAGAAATATAACCTCAAAAACAGGCCAATTAACCCAAAAATAAGCTTGAAGACATTAGTATATTTACTGTAAAGAATATGATCCATTTTTAGAACTATTAAGCTTTCTTAATGTGTGTGTGTGTGTGTGAGAGAGAGAGAGAGTTTTTTAAATTCCAATTAAAATAAAATATGTCATTAGTCATCAGATTTAATGAGAGTAAACAATATATTTAACAGACTCTTTCTGTACATAACACGAGCAGTTTGGGCTGCAGTTGTGAATCTGTTTCCTTCACAGAGACGCCGACTGACTGACTGACTGACTGACTGACTGACTTCCCTTGAATGGGATTTTACTTGATTGTCATTTTCTCTTCAGGTACGGTGTTGTTGATCTGTTTGGAGAGAGCAGACGCCGTATACACTATAATATGTGTGTAATGGACACACACTCCTGATCTCACCTCCTCCAGCGCGTGTGGGAACGCAGAGAAATATTGGATTTTTATTAGAGCAGCAGTGAAATCTCTCGTCCTCCGTGGCCCTCTTGGACGGGCGTAGATAGACTGAGTGTGTGATGGAGGAGGCCCAGAGGAGTGTGTGGGATCGGCTCATCCATCACTGTCAGCGAGGGAGAAGCGTGCGCGAGTACCACCGGCCTTCTGACTGACTGACGGGAGCTGTCAATCATTCCTGCAGCTCCGCCCTCGTCTCATTCGCTGGAGTTGATGTGACAAAGTCGTCTAGATTTGTTTGAGTCAAACAAACACAAGAACTTGACTAGCAGTGACGTGACCTTGACAGAAATTATGAGAGTCTGTCTATCTGCATTTTGAATGCGTGTTTGAAACATTTTTGGATTTAGACCATTTATTCACTGTAAAATGTAAAAAATGTGTGACGTCACCCGTAGTGTTTCTGAAGAGCGTTTTTAAGCTCAAAGTGGGCGGAGCCAACTTGGCCGCGCATCACTCGCGGATAAATGTGCAGCGAGGCGGATTAGCTAAGGTGACATGAAACTAACACAAATGGCTAGCAGTGACATCAGCGGCAATCCACCTGTCACTCAAGTGGCCACGCCCTTAATTATGCAGAACTTTACGGCTTGATATAATTCAAACGGATTAGTTATAAAAAAACATTCACCCCCTCATAGTCACAGTCGACATGAAGGGCAACATTAGCTTTATAGACCAAAACCACTTTTTGCGCCAGACTGTAAACATGTTTATTCTGCTGTAAAGTTGGCCATTTTAACATGCGGGTCTATGGGAGTCTGTGTAGTGGCCAGTGGAGGAACTGCAGTTGGATTCAAGAGTGAGACTGGAACGTTGTTGCTTGATATAGACATATTTGGATTGTCTTTTTCAAATAGTTGTTGTTATAGGCACTTTTTATGTTGATTACAATCATTGTTTATATTATGCATGTGACAGAGTAGTTTCGATTTGTTTGAACTTTGGGTAATATGCCTGTCCAGACTCATGCTTTCTAGGTAGGGAGCTGACTAGGCTTTGAGACACAGCCCGTGTGTTGCACTACTAGCTAATAGTGTGTATGCACATGACGTCATGTGACTGCGGTTACACACACTGAGTGGCGGCTTTTGTTTTCAGTGTGAATGCTGCAAAAAACACACAAAACACATCTAACGGGAAAGAGTTTTGAGACTGACTGTATAAATAGTGTTGACAAGAGTGAGGCATATTTGTATAATATACATGTCATGTAATATTAATATATATGCATGTGTGTGTATTTTTATATATACAATACAAAATAATTATACACAGTGCACCCACATATATTATGTAAACACAAACTTTTATTCTGGATGTGATTAATCGTGATTAATCAGCCCTAATAATTTAAATTAATTTCAGAAATCTGAGGTATATTTGTCCAGACTGCTGAGATTGACAGAATCATCTGGATCCAGGCAGAGAAAGCTGGATTTGCAGTTTTCATTTAGTGTCAGTTTGCATTCCTCATAAACTGTATTGTTGTATATCGTATTGACAAGACATTAGTTTAATATTTACCTTTGTATATTCTGCATGAATTTTTAATAAAAAGGTCTGGCGATATGATGATGATATATAACAGTGATATGAGTGATCACATGGATTTAGACCTATATAGTATTTCTATAAAGCGGATATCCATGATCTCTGGATCTCAGGAACACTATATCGAGTCCAAGCTTTAGTTTAAACTGATAATCGTTTGTTTTACTGGCGTTTCCTCTATTAAACTCAGTCACTCTGAATCATTGACCCGAGTGTGTATCCGTGTGTATGATGCTTCTATCACTCACTGAGAAATGAGTCTGAATCCATTTGTCTTCATGGCACCGTTTTCCCAGCATGGCCCGATGATAAATGTGTAAATGACACCGACGGCAGATAAGCCGGAAATATCGTGTGGAAAATCTGGTTCACATGCTTTGAATGAGCCTGGTCTTAAGAAAGCCTGATGTACAACATGGAGAGTTGTGTAAAGTCAGTGTTAAGCTGTCTAATGGCATTAATATTCAGGGTGAAACACGAAACTCATTACAGCACCTGTGAAAGCGCTGGCCGTCAGCATGTGCCGCCTCACGGCCTCCTCATCCCAATGCTTTATTCACGCTGGAAGTCAAATATGTACCCAGGAAAGCATGAGGAGTGAGGAGCGAATGCTGAGTGGAAACACACACACACACACACACATCTGTATTCCAGCAGCCTCCACCGGACTCACAGAAGCTGAGAGGAGATGTTTGAGGGAAAGATGGCCAGAACTGTTAAATATTAGATCCTAGGATGACAGAATGAATAACCAACATCTGATGTCATGGATGGAGAATGGCCCGCGGTGGACGTGTGTGTGTGTGTGAGAGTGGAAATGAGTTGAAACTGCTGTAGACCTCCACTGATTTACTAATAGGACTGATTTTGGTTTTGGTTTGGATGCGTGTGTGTACTAAATAGCACTCACCTTTTCTATTCTATACTATTGGACATGCAGCAACAGGTGTGTGTGTAACTATTTGTCCACTCTTAAAGTGACAGCGTCCTAATATCTTATGGATAAAAGCGTCTGCTAAATAATAAAATGTAAATGTGTGTCTCATGTACTTTTAGGTTGCTGATTTTACAACAGCTTATTCACTCAATCATATTCATAATGCATTAATGTTTAAGTTTTATTTTAACTCTGTTGTCAAAGTGAAGCCAAACTCATTCATTCGATGCAATGTTTGGTTTGTGGCCATTACAGAGAAAAGTATTTAAGTCACTGGATTATTTAGTCAATTATTTGACCCCTTAAAACTTATCTTTGACCACTAAAATGACATATTTAAGAGTTTGTTCCTTGAAAAAAATGTTTGTCATTGAATGTAACTCGACACCCTCGCCTCATTTAGTATGTGCGGTTCTATGAATATGCAGATGAGCTCCGCCTCCACTCACCCACTCACTGGTTGTCGATCACACGTTGATCTGATTGGTTACAAGGTGGTTTGTGACGTCAGAAACACCAGCAATTTCAAAGCGTGTGTTTATGACTGTCTTTGGTTCACTGCAGTTTTAAGGAGCAATGCTGTCCACTTATCAACGCACACATGGTGTGTGTGTTAAAGCGGATTAAAAACACCACATAGACAAATAAACAACATTTAAACTGTATTATTTCATTTAATTTTTACCACAGGTGGATTTTACAAAGTGATTATGTAATAAAAACATTTTGCGTTTTAAGTTTCAGAAAAACAATTTGTGTGTTTGTTTTTTGTTGGTAAATTGGTTGAGATTTTGGACATATTGACGCCACATAGATCCATGTGAGATTTAAGAATTTCAACTATTTTTGAGTTTTATTTTAAACAATTCCATTTTGCAGTAATTTTTTTTCAAGCGAAAAAACACAGTAATAAAAAAGTTATAACATCAAAAACAGAAATACTTAACTAGTTGACATCTAAAAATTGTAAAGATTTTTTATTCAATCCTCATATTAGAGTGATTTCTGGAGGATCATGTGAAAATGAAGACTGGAGTAATGATGCTGAACATCACAGGAATAAATTACACTTTACTAGATATTCACATAGACAACATATGATATACATTATAATAATATTTCACTGTATTCAATCAAATAAATGCATAATGTCAAACTTTTGGCTCGGTCGTCTGCATTCTCATGCTTCTGTGTTTCTCTCGCAGATCTCAGGAAAACGTTTGACCAGGAGCCTCTAGGAAAGGAACAGGAACTGGAACAGGAAGTGCTTCTCCAGTGCCGCCCGCCAGAAGGAGTTCCTGCTGCTGAGGTACGGTTCATTCGTCCCCACACATACACTGTTAGTAAAGATGAACGCCCTTCCCTCTCTTCCACTGGTGAAACGCAGGGATGTGACGTGAGGATATTATCATGTGTAACCTGGGAGCTTTTAAATTGCTAATTTGAAGACCGGAGTAAAATGTGCGTGTCCGTACAGGCATTCATAATGATGCGGAGCAGAGCGAGGGTTTTCCCGTAGTAATGACCTGAGGACACAGTGGGAAAATGATGTAACCAGCGGTGCTTCTGAACACCAGTAACACCAGCTGTCGTAGCAAACCGAGTGAAAAGTGAAGCTGCCAAAGTCCTGATGCTGATTTGGGACCTGATTCTGCACAGTCACGATATCAAGGCCCCGCCCTCACACACACACACACACTCGCAGAAACCCTTACTGCAGAACAACTCTTTATGTCAGTGTGAAATGAACAGTAATGGACATGTAGAAATTCAAGTTGAAGCTCCAATCTCGTTGCGAAAATCCCCCAAAAACTCTCTTGGTCCCTCAGTGACACTTCATTTAGAGGAGCTGTCAATCATGACGTCACATTCACGTTTTTATAGCATCAAATGTGACCCTGGACCACAAAACCAGTCACATTTTTGAAATTGACAGCTGATAAATAATCTTTCCACTGATGTATGGTGTATTAGGATAAGACAATATCTGTCAGAGCTACAACTACTGAACATCTGGAGAAAAAATTGAGAAAATCTCCTTTAAAGTTGTGCATTTATGTTCACGATTGTGTTGCATTCACTCACAAAATAAATATTGTATATATTTACAGTAGGAAATTACAAAATATCTTTATTGAACATGATCTCTACTTAATATCCTAATGATTTGTGGCATAAAAGAAAAATGTATAATTTTGACCCATACATTGTATAGTTGGCTATCGCTATCGCCACAGACACACTCGTGCGACTCGTGATCCAGGGACTCAAATAACCAATTAGACCAAAAAAAAAAACACCCCAAAAACGAAAACTTAAACGTATATCAGCGTGTTAAAAACTACCTAAAATGACAGAAAACATCGTCAGAAAAAAAGGATTTGAAGTGTAATTTGGTTGTTTAGTTTCTCTTAGACTTCATCTATACTGGGACCAGTACCGCGGGCGATCGAGGCGCTTTGGCTTCTCTTGATCTCCACACACCGGCACTCTCCTGATGAGTTTTATATCCAATTAGAGATTAACGTTTGTTAGAGGGGCCGAAGCAAAGGTAAACTCCTGGCCGACTGATGTGTAGATAACTCAATCACCTCCACTAAATGTCAGACTTTGTTCAGAAACATTTACCTCGGCGGCCACCTGTTAATTCCTATTTAGCTACACGGGACATATTGATTCAGGCATCGATTTTAGCCGGAGTGGGCTGTCAGACAAACTCGTCCCAAAGTTTTAGCTAAACAGGATTAATAGATGGCAGCTGTAAAGGATTTGTTCAGAGCATCCAGTGTTTTTCCCTCTAAAGCGTCCATCTTTACAATAACAAAGAGTAGGACGCAACGTTTTGATGCAAATCCGCAGCAAGCGAAACCTCCTCCAGGCAGGCTTAACAAACTCAATGGGCAGATTTCAGAGGAGGGTTTCATGTGAACGCCTCGGGCGGTGTTTTTCCCGCTCTTTTAATCATCTTAGCACGTGTAATGGCCACCACCATTAACTCCGGACTATCTTTAGCTCGCTGGCGTTGACGTGGAGGCGTGGGCGTGTTGAATATCACCCCGGATGTGTGGAGGAGAATGGGATGTTGTGTCACGTGACGTCCACATTGTCAAATGAGCTTTATTGGGGTAAATTGCTGGAATATTGCAGAGAAGTTTGAGCGTTTGGTTCATGTGCGTCTGCTTTACACACACGGGTTTGGATGTTTCTCGATCACACAATGAACATTTGGCTTGTTTGTGGCCAAAGAGAAAGAGTTTATTCCCTGTTTGGGCTGAGAAACAAAAAGGAAACAGACGTACAGGTGAAACTCGAAAACGTGCAAGTTCATTTATTTCAATAATTCAACTTAAAAGGTGAAACTAATATATTATCAGTGTTGGGTAAGTTACTCTAAAAAAGTAATTAATTACTAGTTACTAATTACCTCTTCAACAGTGTAATTAGATTACTGTACTAATTACTCTCTCCAAAAAGTATTTAATTACTTTTAATTACTAATTACTTTCAAAATCCCATATCAATCTCAACCAGCTGAATAATACAAGGATAGACATGAATCTTTTTTAATTCTTTCAAATAAATACTATAAAATTACAATTATTCTTAAACTTCAAAGGTGGAGAAGGTTACATTATAAAAACATACTTTTTAACATCAGACAATACATTTTGATGTTAAACCCACTATTGTTTTCTGTCTGATCTCATGACATTTCACACTTTTTTTATACATATTTTACAATATTCATACGAATTTGTACAGGTCGTACAATTTAGACACCTCATAAAATGCATACGAATCGCTGTAAGATCGGATTGATCTATACACAGTATTTATCTCAATTACATCAGAAGTAACTGTAATTAAATTACTAATAAATGAAGAATAATCCCTTACTTTACATTTTCAAGGGAAAAGTAATTAAATTACAGTAACTAATTACTTAGTAATTAGTTACACCCAACACTGTATATTATAAAGACTCATTACATGCAAAGTGAGATATTTCAAGAGATATTTCCCATTATTACGAGTTATGAATGCACTCAGAAAAAATACAATTAATATTCAGTAATATTACCTGTTCAACTCTATCAGATGAGAACTGAATTGAGCTAAATAATGAAATTAACTCTGCCACAATTTACTCTATTGGACTGAGTTAAATCTTCATTGAACCGGGGTTAATATCGTAAACGGAAACTGCTCAAATCATTTATGTTCACTGACATAAAGCTGGAATAAAATATAAATATTAAATTGAACTAGAAAAATTGAAATGTTGCCTTGGCAATAAACTGATATAAATTGAAGTTGAAGCACTAAAATGATTAACTGGAAATAAAAACTAAATATTAAAAAGAAAAACATAAAATAATGGAATAACTTTAATATAAAACTAGAATTAACATGAAAATTAGAAATCTAAATATAAAGCTAATTCAAAATATTAATAACTATAATAATGAGCTGAATAACGACACTATTGTCTTTTGTAGAGCTGCTTATTGCTGATTTTTTTTCGTAATTGATGCATTTTGTGACTTATTGTCTTGTTTATTAGTGCCTTGAAACCCTCTCTATTGCATAAAGCGCTTTACACTGTTAAAAATAAAGTTTCTGAAAGGCTTTTTCTTCAAAGAACCGTGTTTTTAATTTCTAAAGGACCTTTTGTGGAATCGATGAACAGATTCCTCGGATCTTACAGGTTCTTCACGGACACATCGATGCCAATAAAGCAGCTTTATGTTTAAGAGTGTAGACATAAATGTGGATATATGATCTTATCGGCCGGCTGATTGAATGTAAAATGTATGGTGGATTTTCCTATCAGCTGGATTTGAAGTGAAAAGCACATTAACCCAACGTGAGTGAAACCAAAGAGCATTCTGGGTCAGATCAGAGCGGTCTCTCCGGGGAGCGTGTTGATTGGCTGAGAGCGTTTCCTTTTGATTCGGCTCTGACAGGAAGCGTGCTTGACCTGGAAAGCCCAGTTAAGCGAGCAGAAGTTCATTGCAGGTGGAAATGCTGACAGAACAAATGAGCCGCAATCAGAAGGGAGTCGTTTCCCGCCACCTCCTCACACAGCCACTCTGTCCCGCATTAAAGAACCACATCACAGATCCTGGATCAGCTCATACAGCCACTCCGTCCCGCATTAAAGAACTACATCACAGATCCTGGATCAGCTCATACAGCCACTCTGTCCCGCATTAGAGAACTACATCACAGATGGCGCCGCTTCGCTTCTCTTGGCATATTTCGCTGATGTTATTTTCTGTCTTCCATCACTTGTTTGCTGCATTATGTTTTTCAACTCAAACATGATTAGATCTGAGCAGATGTCGTCATATATCAACATATCTCTTTTCTTTTTTTCTATTTTTCTATCTATTGCATCAACACTTGTATTGATATTAGTGAGTGCATTCATATGATAATCTGCATCAAATTTTAATTATTCTTTTTTTAGTTTATTTTTGTCTACATTGTAAAAAAATAAATAGTTGCAAAAAAAAGTTGCAAACATGAACATTTTTATGAACTAACATTACATTTACAGTGCAGCATTTATTATCATTTGTTAAATGCATTAGCTAATCGAGAGTTGCTAAACATGCAATATCACTCTTTCTACTCTTTCAAAACTGCATGTTTAATTCAGCCGTCATTAATTCTGAAATTGGTTGAAAATATGTTTTTTTCAGTGTACAAAGATAATCAAAGTCATTTCAGCGTGGCTCTTTAGGTTTATAACTCGAAATATTCGAATTTTGTTAAATAGTAATAATTTTCATGATTATGGCCAAATTCAAAATCTCAGAAAATTGATAATCAATAAAATACGGATTTTAAATCCAGAAATGTTGGCCCTCTGAAGAGGAAGATCATACATATGTATATATTTATATAAATATGAAATATAGTACTTTCACCTTATAATTTAACTAAAATACATACACTTTTGCACGATATTCTAATTTTCTGTGTGGACTCCTAAAACATGCGTGTGTGTGTGAATGTTGATCTGGGTGTGTCGCATCGCTCGGATCACTCTCTCCTGTCTGTGTGTGTGTGCTGCGCAGGAAGGGTTCAGAGAAGGATAACAGTCAGGAATGAAATGACACGATCACACACTGCAATAAGAGCTCCTCTCTCTCGTGTGTGAATAAAGAGTGTGAATATGACGCTCACCGTGAGCCTCGGGTCTGCTGTTAATGACATAAAATAACCAACCGGCCTTCTGGGTAATTACATCCAGAGAAAGAGAGCAGACGTGCAAATAAAATAACACAATTCAATTTATTT